CTGCTCTGGTGGGTTCTGCTCTGGTGGGTCAGTCTGGTGGGTTCTGCCTCTAGATCTGAGCTTCGTGGGTTCACATCTTACCACTGAATCACTTTTAGTCAAAACAGCAAAACTGAAAAGATAAATGCACCAAGAGAAAAGCTCCGAGTGTGAAAGGTGCCGGTGGTGTGGGGGGTCCGTTTGTGTTCGTAAGGAGAAGCTACGCAGAACTGGTTCAAGGCCTGCCTGCTGCTGGGACCCAGATCATCAAAACCAATCCCACTGGAGTGGGTAGGGGAGGGGGCCATGTCCCCTGGAAATACTTTTTACAAAAGGTTTTCATGTAGTTGTAATAACCAAAGACAGTATTACCATACTTATATATACACACATACTGTATACATTAACAATAGTAAGGATATACAGAGGATATTTATTTCTTTTAAAATATATTTTAAAGATTAAACATTTCACTGACTTATCAGAGACAAATGGCAGATCAGCAAACAAAAACAACTATTAAATTATGCAAACTCAAAAACATTCTTCACAAAAATAGAGCATGAAAACAAAAAACATTCACGCAGACAAAAAACAAGTAAATTAGATGATGTAAGCAAAGAAAGTGGGGAAACAGGACACATTTTGTAGCATCACGTCTGCCTCCAGGCCAGTCTTACCATCTGTGTGAGGAGTGGTCCAGGGTGGCAGCGTGACGACAGAGCGGTTAGGAAAGACAGGCAGAGAGACAGCTGCCGTGAGCAGAGAGCACGACAGGCAAAGCACACCAAACTTCTAATCCTAAAGCTCAGAGATCCGGCACGATTCGGTCATTGCACCCAAAGGAGCGAGTACGCTGCAGGTATCTGAAGGGTAAGAGAACGGTAGAAAAAAGGTGTTCTTACCACTCCACTGTGAGATTTGGTCTTCAGGTCCAGCTTCACAAGACCAAAACCTGTTGGATTCAACACACGTGTTAAACATGGACAGTAATTCCCTCGCAAGAGCGGTCGGTGATCTCAGTGGGACTTGGTGGTTATTGAAAAATCTGGTGCAAACAAAAGATTTCAAACAAGCACAGCTGGAGTCAATAGTTCAGATATCCTGGTTAAGGGCATGAACTTTCATTTCAGGCGTTTAATGATCGTCTGAAACGTGAGTTTGAATTTATTCTGGGTTTTCTCTGATCTGCACTAGGGCTTAAACAGACTACTGGAGTGATCTACACATCGATTCCTAGGACACCTATTGAGTTTTTTAATTTCACGTTGCGTATTTGTGGTGGCGTCGTTACACCGCCGTTACGTCATTGCGTCACGTGATCCGCACCGGGCGCGGGTTAATAAACGGATTCCTCCGAGCAGACAGATGGAGCAGAGCAGGCCCAGTCTTGGCAAACAGGTGGAAATGCATCAATAGTGTGGAAATATTTCACTAAAGAGTACCAGGCCACTGTTAAATCAGAAAAAAACAAGTATTTCTCCCAAATCATGGCCTCAAACAGCCACAATCCCCTCGTTCTTTTCAACACCATTAACTCCATTTTAACCGTGCCTCAGTCCGACAACTGGGAGGTCTCTGCGTGTGACGACTTTACCAGTTTCTTTGTTAAAAAGGTCGAGTCGATCAGGTCACTGATTCCTCACACCACAGCTGACCCCTCTGTCTTTGTCCCCTCCACATCAGTCTTTAACCAGTTTGAACCAGTTCCCTCTCATTTCTAAATGACGTCACTGGTCATATGAAACCCTCAGGTTCCCCTGCTGACCCCATCCCTGCATGGTTTTTTTAAACAGGTCCTACCCTCCATTGGACCCTCTGTTCTTGACATTATAAACAGCAGTATGACTACAGGTGTAGTTCCAGACACTTTTAAACATGCAGTGGTAGCTCCTTTAATAAAAACAACCCGGACTTGACCCTTCAACCTGCTCAAACTTCAGACCCATCTCCAAACTTCCCTTTCTTTCTAAGATCCTGGAGAAAATAGTTTTCACTCAATTAAATTAGTTCTTGAGTGGAAATTTTATTCTTGAGATCTTTCAGTCTGGCTTTAAGAAACTACCAGCACTGAAACAGCCTTAGTTAGGGTCTGCAACGACATTCTTCTGGCAAATGACTCTGGTCAGTCTGTGGTCCTGGTACTCCTTGACCTTACCGCTGCATTTGATACTGTGGACCACAGTATCCTTTTGTCCCAGCTAGAACACTGGGTTGGGATTACTGGTGCAGCGTTAGAATGGTTCCATTCATACCTGAGCGACAGGAGTTTCTGTGTTAATTTTGCTAACTCTCTATCTACTTCAGTGCCTCTTTCCTGCGGGGTACCGCAAGGCTCCATTCTTGGACCCCTTCTGTTTTCATTGCATCTCCTCCCCTTAGGGTCTATCCTGAGGAAACATGGTCTTTCCTTTCATCGTTATGCTGATGACGCTCAGATTTATCTGCTGTTAACACCTAACAGTTCCTCCTCCATTCACCCTTTGCTAAAATGTCTTGATGACATCAAGACTTGGATGGCTGCAAACTTTCTGAGTTTTAATGATCAGAAGACTGAGGTCATTGTGTTTAACCCAAGCTCTACCACTGTCACTGATCCTGTAAACCTGCACTCCCTTCAGCCTCATCTAAAGCAGTCGGTTACCAATCTTGGGGTAGTTTTAGACTTGGACTTTAAGTTTAATAAACAGATCAACTCTGTTCTTCAAAAAAAGCTTCTTTCAGCTAAGGCAGATAGCAAAGCTTAAGTCCGTTCTGTCCAGATCTGACCTTGAAAAATTAGTCCATGCATTCATTACAACCCGGCTGGACTACTGTAACTCACTTTATGCTGGGGTCAGTCAGGTCTCTCTCTCACGTCTCCAGCTTGTCCAAAATGCTGCAGCTCAGCTACTAACAGGAACTCACAGGTTTGAGCACATTACTCCGGTTCTCTCCTCTCTTCACTGGCTTCCTGTGCGTGTCAGAGTTGATTTTAAAATTCTTCTGCTGACATTTAAGTGTGTTAATGGTCTTGCACCATCATACCTCTCCGACCTCCTTCATCCTTATGCTCCTTCTCGGGCCTTGAGATCATCAGACCAGCTGCTTTTGGCCGTACCTAAAATCAGCTGAAGCTCAGAGGAGATCGAGCGTTTTCAGTCGTGGGCCCTAAACTCTGGAACAATCTGCCCATCAACATTCGACAGGCCACCTCAGTCTCTGCTTTTAAATCTCTCCTAAAAACACATCTGTACTCAATGGCATCTAACACAGTGTGATCTCATTTGGTATTTCGTTGTTGATGATTGTGTTCATCCATTTTGCTTTTACTCCCTGACATTTAACGCAGGGTGACTTGATTTAGTATTTCATTGTTTCTCATTATATTTCATTGTTTTTATGCTTTTATTCATGTTGCTGTAATATGTTGTTATTAATATTTGATGCTGTGATCTTTTTGGTAAGCACTTTGATAACAGTTACTGTTTTAAATGTGCTATATAAATAAATGTGACTTGACTAAAGATGAATCTTCTGGTTTAACTACCGTAAGGAAACAGAAGATGAATCAACTTCCTGCCTGTTTGGAGCTCGTTGTAAACCGGTGTTGCACCATATTCTGTGATCACCGTATATTGTGACCGTAGGGGGCGGTGTTGCATGCACTGTTGCAGGTCACAGAATATGGTGCAACACCGGGTCCAATGACCGAACCAGAACAGCTTCCTCTGACCTTGTTTCACAAACTAAAAGCAAAAAATATTAATCTCTAAACCTATAAAAAAATCTATAAACATATTAATCTCAGTCAGTCAGTCCATTATCTTTACCCGCTTCTTCCATTTTGGGCCGGTGCCCATGTCCAGCTATCACTGTGCGAGGGACGGAGTACTCCAGTCCATCACAGGGACACATGGAGACAAACAACCAGTCACTCTCTCTCTCTCACCTAGAGACATTTTAAAGTTACCATCAGTCTAACGTGCATGTTTTTGGTCTGTGGGAGGAAACTGGAGTACCTGGAGAAAACCCACGCATGCACAGAGAAAACATGCAAACTGCACCCAGAGAGACCAGGATTTGATCCGGTAACCTTTTCACTGAGAGGCTGCCGCTCTAACTGCACCACCGTGCTGCCCAAAAACTAAACATGAACTTGAAATATTTGTCATTGACCGACCCAAAGGCCAAAGCCAGAAACCTGGAGGAAAGGGTTGATAACGTTCTGAAATTAATTAAAACCTGTCCAGTCATTCATGAGATATTTTGCTAAAAGACAGAACAACAAAGAAGCCAAAGGCTAAGACTATAAATTAATTTTTTTATTGTTTGCTTTTCAGCCAGCAATTAAAAAGCTTTTCACCTAAAGTGAGATTCTCTGCAAAGTTTTACAGTTTGTCACATTGAAAGCCCAGGGCTCACCAAGCTGTGCATTTCAGGGATTTGAACCGAACACCAGACGAAGCGGTACTGACCGTAGCCCTTGCTGAAGATGTCCTTGGCGGCCTTGCCGAGGTCCGAGTACGATGGAGGGACAGCCATTGTGCTGAAGACAAACACAAAATTTACGTACAACTCAAACTATTAACAGAAAGAAAAAACTCCATGTTTTAATTTTAAACCGTCTCAAAAACGAGATGCATGTTGTGCTTTCTACAGCTCATGGAAACTAATTCAGTTCTCTTGAAAGTGATCCGGGTCAAAATCGCTGCCCAACATAAATCTGCATGAATTAGTGAGTGACATACTAAAAATAAAAAACAAGGAAAATGTGATTTGTTATTTGACAAAAAAAATCCTGCAATAGTTTGAACAGATTTGTTGGTACCCTTAAAAACTTGTTTTTTTAGAATCATCGCGTTTTAAACGTGACAATATAAACGAGATTAACCATAATTTTTATCATAGTTCACACTTCTATTCTGCATATTTTGACAGACAAACGGTCTCCAAGTCATTTTGTATGGTTCTGTGTAGAACCCGGCTGATATTTGGTGTTTGGGGACAAATCGATATTGGTGATAATTGTCCCATTATGGGCTGAAATAAACACTGGGAACAAGCCGTGTCCTTACTCATAAAAGGCGTATTTGTACGATGTACCCAGCAGAGGGCGCACGTGGAGTACTTTCAAGGTCAAAGCCGTTCACTTTAAGTTTCACTTTTAGTACAGCGGAAGCAGGGAGCAATACTGTGTAGCATATTTTACTGAGCAGAGCCTGGTAAGTTCATTTTAACTGATCTGCAAACAGTGTTGCCAGATTAGGTGGTTTACTGCCAGTTGGAATGTTTTCATTCTGATTTTGCTGGGAACTCTGGGAAGATTTTTGTTGGACTGTTGCATTTTGCCACATATTGTTAAATTACATTAGGTTGTACTGATGTGTGTTCACGTTCAAAACGTAAATATACTGTAACAATATATTGACTGGGCGGATTTTTGTGTGATGCGGCGGTTTTTAACAGATCGTTGGGCTGGAAAACCTAGACTATCTGGCAACAGTGTAAATTTAAAAAAATAAAATTATCTTCAATCCTTGAACCTGCTTGTTATTAGCTACGTGCCTCTCAAGTTAACAAGGTAATGTTTAACCTAGCATAGGCTACTGCCTTGTAAAACTTTATCCAGAACAATAAATCTAACGTAGAGGTAAAATATATCCGTGTTTGTAAGACTCTGTTACCATGGAGACAGACTCCATTACCATGAGGAAAGACTGTTACCATGGAGACAGACAGTGTTACCACGGTGACAGACTCCCTTAAGACAGACAGACTGT